CCATGCCCGGCTTTCTTTGTATTTTTTTTTAGTAGAGACGGGGTTTCACCATGTTGACCAGGATGGTCTCGATCTCTTGACCTCGTGATCCACCCGCCTCGGTCTCCCAAAGTGCTGGGATTACAGGCTTGAGCCACCACACCCGGCCTAAAACTTTTTTTTTTTTTGATATGGAGTCTTGCTTTGTTGCCCAGGCTAGAGTGGAGTGGTGCCATCTCAGCTCACTGCAACCTCCACCTCCCGAGTAGCAGAATTGCAGGCATGTGCCACCATGTCTGGATAATTTTTGTCTTTTTAGTAGAGACAGGTTTCATGATGTTGGCCAGGCTGTTCTCAAACTCCTGACCTCAGGTGATCCAACTGCCTTGGCCTCCCAAAGTGCTGGGATTATAGGAGTGAGCCACCATGCCTAGCTCTACAACAAGACTTTTTAAAAATTAGCTGGGCATGGTGGTGCCCTCCTGTAGTCCCAGCTAATCAGGAGGCTGAGGTGGAAGGATTGCTTGAAACCACGATTTGGAGGCTGCAGTGAGTTAGAGTGGTGCCACTGCACTCCAGCCTGGGCAACACAGTGAGACCATGCCTGTAAAAATTTTAAAAAGCAATTATGTAGTTTCACAATAGATGGAAGGTGGAAGAGCCTCATTGACATTCAGATTAATGTAATGACAGGTCTTGAATTGATATTTAGTTTTTTGAGACAAAATCTTGCTCTGTCACCCAGGCTGGAGTGCAGTAGTGCAACCTTGACTCACTGCACCTTCTGCCTCCCTGGTTCAACTGCCTCAGCCTCCCCAGTAAGCGACCACATCTGGCTGATTTGTGGTATAGACAGGGTTTTGTCATGTTGACCAGGCTGGTCTCAAACTCCTGACCTCAAGTGGTCCACCTGCCTTGACCTCCTAAAGTGCCAGGAATACAGGTGTGAGCCACCAAAACCGGCCAGGTCTTGAGATTTTTAGGGGGAAAAAAAAAGTGGTCGGGTTAGGGGGGGTGCAGTAGTTCACACCTGTAATCCTAGCACTTTGGGAGGCTGAGGCGGGCTGATCACCTGAGGTCAGGAGTTCAAGACCAGCCTGGCCAACATGGTGAAATCTGTCTGTACTGGCATGGTGGTGGGCGCATGTAATCCCAGCCACTTGGGAGGCTGAGGCAGGAGAATCATTTGAACCTGCGAGGTGGAGATTGCAGTAAGGCCAAGATTGCGCTACTGCACTCCAGCCTGGACAACAGTATGAGATTTCTGTCTCCAAAAAAAAAAAAAAGGGAAAATAAAATTAAGGAAATAAAGCAGTTCCACTACCGTTTTTTGCACTACTGATGTTCAGTACTACCAACGTTTTTGCTTTAAGAGAACAAGCTTTTTAAAATTATTTATTTTTATTTTTTTAGAGACAGAGTCTCACTCTGTTGCCCAGGTTAGAGTTCAGTGGTGTGATCTCGGCTCACTGCAATCTCCACCTTCCAGGTTTGAGCGATTCTCTTGCCTCAGCCTCCTGAGTACCTAGGACTACAGTCGTGTATCATGGCGCCCAGCTAATTTTTGCATTTTTAGTAGAGACAGGTCACCATGTTGGCCAGACTGGTCCCGAACTCCTGACCTCAAGTGATCCACCCGCCTTGGCCACCCAAACTGCTGGGCTTACAGGCGTGAGCCACCTTGCCCAGCCAAGAGAATAAGCTTAAAGGGTATATTCAGCCTGAGAAGAAGGCGCATCTATGCAACGTGAACAGATGCTGAGCAGAAATGACCCAGAGGCACCATCGTCTCATCAAGCAGTTTATTTCCATTTTTAGTTCTAATGTTGATTTCTTCATTCACCCGGAATCTCCACTAAAGCTCCTCATGAACAGGGCCCAATTCCTAGAATGTGTATCATGTTAGCTCCTGGTATACAGTAGAGAATCACCAAGTTATTTTACTGCCTCCTTTTCTAATGATTCCCCAGTGGTCCATGTTGTGAGATGTATACAGTTCAAAAGGCCACAGGGAAACTGACACAGCACGGCCATTTCAAAAGGGATCTTCAGACTCTTCTGATTTTAGGAAATTCTGTGTGCTAACTTTGAACACATGCTAGCCTCCCTTTCTCAGATTCAGAAAGGTCTAAAGTAATAGCTGTTTCTCTAAAGTGAAACATGTATTTCATTATATTATTATTTTGTAATAGATAGCTTCTATCTATGGCAGTTTATGTTGGATTATTCCATCTATGGGAATCACATCACGTTTTCTTTCTGAGATGGGGTCTTGCTATGTTGTCCAGGTTGGTCTGGAACTCCTGGGCTTAAGCTATCCTCCTGTCTCAGGCTCCTAAACTGCTGGGATTATAAGCATGTGCCACCACATCCCACCAAATTTTCTTTGTAAATGTGTTTGAGTGGGAGTAACTCATTTTAAAGGAAAAAACCTGAACTAATCTAGAGGTGGAACACAAAGGAGGTAAAACATGAGAGAAGTGATGCCGTGAGACTAACCGTTGGAAACAGTGCCCTCTGGACAGTCTGGCTCTTGAGGGTGAGGTGGGTGTGCTTCTAGTGGCGTAGGTTGGTCAGATTCTTCTGGCCTCTGCGCACGTGGATGTGACGTAGTGAACGCCACATTGAACCAGGTGCTGCCAAGTCCTGTAAAGGTCACTCACCATACAGAGTGCTACAAAGATACAGGTTAAAGGCTGAAGCTTGAAATGTAAAAAACAAAAATACCCTGTAGAGCAAGGTATATTCCTAGTGTTGAGCTGTTCCCAACCAAAAAAAAAAGTTAAGGACAAAAAAAAGGAGGCATTCAGTCAGTGGTTGTATTGAATAAACAAAGTATCATCAAGCTGTAATCACCCAACCTTTATTATTCCAAGTGCAGTGTCAAGAGAAATGTTACAGCCGCTAAGGAAAAGGTACTTCTGCAGCTCTCAAACGCAGGCAAGAAGCCACATGACTGCGTGAGACAAGCCGAGGGGCTCTCTCTGCCCAGGAGGAAATGGCTGGGTCTCTTCACCAAAATCAGTTTACAGTGTATCCCGGTAGCACACACCCTTGTTCTGCTTACAAACCAAGGGAGAAAGAGCAACACGTCCATCATCCAACACCTCCCCTGGAACAGGGAAATAAGCATCATTCTGTGACAACAGCATCTTTGGACTCGGCACCAGTTTGTTCCGCTTCGGTATCCGTGGCAGCTGGGGCAGGAGCTGCTCTGGTTTGGGCACTTTCTCCCTCTGCTGCCATTGTCTCGGTGCCACTTCCTGCCTCCACGACACCCTTCTCAGATGCTGTTCCGCAGGGCACCTGCTCTTCCAGGGGCTGTTCAGCTTCAGGATCACTACTAGCCTCTGCTGTTTCCACAGGGCCTTTGCCCTCAGTTGGCTCCCCGCTGCTCTCCAGAGCCGGCGCCCCTTCCCTGTTGACTGCCCTCACTGCTGCCGTGATCACCTCGGCTAAGACGTCTGTGGCCACCTCCTCAGGTGTCTCTTTCTTATCCTCACCTTCTAAATTGTCATCTCCTTCCATTTCTGGATCAACAGTTTCATTGGTGAAAGGGTCCTCACCCTGGCCAAAGAGAAACACACGTCAGTGTAGCAGAATTCAG